TAGCAATGCCACTAAGTAATAGCCTTGATAGTTCCTTAACAATTTTAGATATTTATCCGCAAGTGCACAGAGCTATCATTGTAGCATTTCACCCGAAAGTATTTAGGGTATCGTTATTTATATTTTTCTCAAAAGAAGGTATTTGATTAAGAGTCTAGTATGGATATGAATTTGAATAATAATGCTTGCAAGTACACCAATGTTTATAATAGGGGTAAGAATGGTGATTTCAAGATAGTGGACACACACTTGGCATTCCTCAAAGGATAAAATAGAAAAGAAAGAATAAAAGAATAATCCTAGTCGAGCAGGCATTGGTCTAGTATAGTCATACAAAGATTAGTTAATGATCATACGAATTACATAATTAGTCTTAGAGCTAAGTGTGAAGCAGGTCGGGAGGCCACCGAGTACTGGTCTGCCAGCAACCTCATGTGACAATTTAGACTCCTACACCCCAGTCGAACGTGGGGGATTACAAGGGACGGACAGGACTATCACCACCTACCGCCTACCCCTCAACAGTGGAAAGGGACAATGCATTCACATGTCTCTCCATATCCAAGCACCATGCTTGCGTATACAGAAACTACCCAAATCCCCCCGGGTCCCCGACCCTATGGATCGATAGGTAAAGAACTTGGGCACACCTAACAGCACAATGAACCGCCACCTGAACTTTGCTCTAATTCCGATTATATAAGTTATATGAGTGTTTAAGCATAAAGTTAAGTGTGCTATTTTCATGACACAAACTATAGACTAGCTCATATATCAAGATTATAACACAATAACTATACTCTAGTTAATAAGTATGACTATAAATATCATATGAGAGCATAACTTTGGAAGAACGCATATCTCTATTCATACCCAAAGGTCTCTTCTTCTAAGGAGCCAAGCTCTCCAAGGTAGCTTTGCCTTGCTCTAAAGCTACTAACAAGTAAAGCTACTACTACTAGAGAGTGAGGTGTGTGAGGTGATGCTCAAGTGAAGTGTGTTGAGAGAGGGAGGGGTACCCCTCTATTTATACAAGGGCAAGGCGGTGCTTCTGTCTATCTTTGGCGCGAAAGCATGGGATGCACGGCCTTAGTATGGGGGCATGCCACCGCCAGAGCGAGGCGTGGCTGAGCAGCGTAGGCAATGGGTCGCCCGACCCTAGGGGTCGGCCGCCCCTTGACCGTGGCCACTCGCCACCGCCTTCGCCTAGCAGGCCATGGGCTAGACATGGATCCCTGCTCCATGGTGTTTTGCCCAATTCGCACAAAGTTGATGGGCGTCTCCCTTGTTCCTTTGTGCAAATCAGCATCGGAAAGCGCCTTTCGGTGAATTATTCCATGTATTTGTGTTTGTGACCTACAAAATAACGTTATCCAAATACATGTGGAACTTGGTTAGTAGTAAATGCATATGTGATCAAGATTGCTTATTTCTCCTCTTTTTGTGTCTTCATTGACGGTCGGATTTGATAGGTAATGACGGCCAACAACCAGCACCATCGATGAATTGGCAAAGAGCTTCCATCTCAACAAATCCCGCAGCATACTTCTATCCTACAACTGCATGTAAGTTTGTTGTAAATACCTAATTTTCTACTCCATTACATATTTGAGGGTTTAAACAAATTGGAACCGGCGGTGGCGTTGTGAATGCAGCGGTGACCATCATGTCCTTCTTGACGCTGAACAGGTAAGACAAGCTAGTACTACATTGGCAACGATAAGATTATTTGTCACATAGCTTTGATCATCTTATGTCATTGTCATGAACTTGTCACAGGGCCTATGAGAAGTTCAAGTCAAGGTCCAAGAAACATCGTGAACTTGGCAGATCTAGGTTTTGAGTAATATCGGTCGGTTCGATCCCAATGCAGCCTGTGGGCAATGATCTCTATGGGTTCTATGTCATGCATTACATGCGCAGCCTCATCAATGCTCTCTCCGGCTCATAGGTTTGGCCCCTTGGCCCCTTTAGTAAATTTGGACGACCTCGGGACATACTTAGAGTGTGTAGCAAAGCTTTTCTTAACTATGTTTCACCTTTTTCTTGTGTTCTAGACTGAAGTGTCATCTGCACCGGAGCTGACCGATTTGGAGATATCTGGGTTCCAAGAAGATCTTTTCGGTTTCATTATAGACAAAGTTGTGAACCCCAAGGGAGTCCATCACCTTCTCTAATCAAGGTGCTAGTGTTCTGAAAACTATATATTCGTTGTTGTTGGATGCCGGTGTTTGAAAACTATGTTTGTCGCTGTCGTTTTGTATGGATATTTGTGTCTCGGTGGTGATGTATGCTTGGATACAATACATTGTCTCTGTCTATATATGTTGCTGGTGATATGTAAGCCATGAAATTTCTATATTGTTGGTGCTATAATGTATTGTGAACAATAATGATGCACATTGGTAACGCCGACAGTAATGGACACAACATTACTGCCAAGACAAACACAACAGCGGCGGTGATGCTGCCCCTCATTACCGCCGAAGGGAACACCAGCCGCATAAGATGGCACCTACATCACCGACGGATGGTGCGTTGGACCGGCGTTGATGTCTCGTCATCATAGCCGGATGGTACGCCGGTCCGGCATCGATAGATCCATTATCACAGCCGGATGGTACGCCAGTCCGGCGTCGATAGATCCATTATCACCGCCGGTTGAAACGCTGACCCGGCGATGATAGGCGCATCGTCACCGCCGGATGGTGCGCCGGCCCAACGTCGATGGCTGCATCATCACCGCCAGATGGTACACCGGCCTAGTGTCGATGGTTACGTCATCACCACCGGATGGTACGCTGGCCCAGCGTCGATGGTTACATCATCACCGCCGGATGGTACACGGGACCGACGTCGATTGACGCATCATCACTGTCGGATGGTACGCCGGGCCGGCATCGATGGTTACATCATCAACGCCGGATGGTACGCTGGACCGGCGTCGATGGACACATCATCACCGCAGGATGGTACGCCGGGCCGGCGTCGATGGTTACATCATCACCACCGGATCGTATGCCGGACCGGTGTCGATGGAAACATAATCACCGCCGGATGGTACGTCGGGCCGGTGTCGATGGTTACATCATCACCACCGGATCGTACGTGGGGCCGTCAGTGGTAAAACACCGTCACCGCCGTATGGTACGCCGGACCGACGGTGGTAAAATACCGTCACAGCCGGCATGCAACCGGCGGAGATAAAGGTCGCCGATCACCGCCGACATACCCCAACAGGGCCAAAACCGTCGGTAACGGGGGTTCTGGAGCCGGCGGTGTTTAGCTTTCTGTAGTAGTGCCCCGCTGCTTCCAGTAGGCTGCTCGTTGGCGGAGGAACAGGTGCAGGCGTTGTGCACATTGATCCCGCAAGCAACGTTCACCTGGAGAAAGAGTCCTGCTTTCTTCGAAGTAGTCAAATAGGCATATAATGAAGTGGCAATTGTGGTAGATGGAGGGGGGAGAGCGATGCTTACGCAGCCAAACCTTTGACGCTTGCCTTACCACCTTGACCTGAGCAACCAGAACCTGTGCCTTATCCCCGAGACGGGGGATGGACTGCCAAGCCGGGGTAACCGATGGGAGGTAGGAGGGATCGAGGAGCCAAGATCTTTCAAGTCGAAAGGATTTTGGCTTTGGGATGTTGGTTTGGATGGAAGCAAGAAGAGGAGTGTGGTCAGAGGTGGGGCGGTTGCCAAGGTGAGTGTGGTGCCAGGGAAGGCGTCACTGAAGGCAATGTTAATGAAAGCTCGATCCAATCTAGCAAGAGTAGGAGTAGCCCGTTTGTTGGTCCAAGTAAACAGCCAGTCCAGAAGGGGGAGCTCGATAACCTGAAGCGCATCAATGGTGTGGTTGAATCTAGTGGCGAGGTTAGAATTGAACGTCAGCGTGTTCTTGTCAGAGCGAGCCCGAGTGAGCTTGAAATCACCAATCAGAATCCACGGATCCGAAATGGATCCGGCGACAGTAACGAGCTCTGCAAGGAAAAGATCGGTGAAGCTGTGGTTCGAAGGACCATAAACATTGGTCACCGCAAACCGGAGGCCGGAGGTGGTGGAACGGAGGAGCACAGTAGAGGTGAAGTCAAAGGAGAAGTGGTCAGTCATGGTGAAGAGGGTGGAGCACCAGGCGGTTAGGAGGCCACCGCGGGAACCATCGGCCAGGGTAACATGGTAAGCGTCAAGGTTAGAAGGGAGAAAGGAGCGAACGCAGCGATCGTTCATGGTATTGAGCTTTGTCTCCTGGAGACAGGCCAGCTGCGGATGACATTTGGCAATGTTGTCACGAACAGCAACACATTTATCATCTTGACCGAGGCCGCGGACATTCCAGGAGAGTAAGATAAAACAGCGACATGAACGATTCATGGGTTCAAACTGATACAACAGGTGGACATGGGAGTACTAAAACAGGTGGAGGAGTCACAGGCGACGGACACGGACGTCGGCAAGGCAACAACAAACACAACGGACGCACTGAAACTGAAAACCGATCAGAGCTAACCTATAAGCAATACTTGTACGTTGACAGAAAGGATCCAAACACTACCGGATACAGGAGCTTTGCATGACTAAGATAATGCAGGTATGAAAATCAGAGGCTGAAAGAAAATGTCGCACCTGGACACTGCTACATCGAAAAATCCTTAGGTTAAACAATTTGTGCAAAAGAAACTGTACTGGACACACATGCATGATCTGATCTACAAACTCTGTAAGGTTAATACAGAAACTCTGCCGCATCTTTGTAAAGACTACCCATTTACCGTCGAGGTTTGGTCCATAATTAAGATGTTCGTGGATGATCCGAGTCTGCTCCTCTGCTCTGACGACGAGCGCGGCAGTGCAAAGTTTGCATACTATATGCACCTTGCTCAGTGTCTCAGGCTCAGCAGCTTAAAGATGGCACTGTTTGGATTTATACAGGAATAGTCGAGCCGACTGCGTCACCCGTAAATTTCATAATTTCAGTTATTACAACTTAGTACTAGTAGTACAAGTTTACAATAGCCTCAAGACCACACCGTTTCGAAGCTCTGCGAGTTGCCCCTGCACTCTTCGGTAGACGTCACCGTCGAGGCGAATCTCCACGAGGCTTGTGAGAAATGGTAGCCCCGAGAATTCCTTCACCTGCTTGCACCTGTAGGCTTGTATCACCTCCAGCTTGGGCATGGCCTCATGCTCAAACCGCACCGACTCTATCAGCAGATCAAGCTCCAGCACCAAGATGCTCGGAAAAGACGAGCCTTGAAAACGAAGCAGCTTCCCCACGAACGAGTTGTCCCTGAGGCGCAGGACTGCGAGATTCGGTAGCATCCCGATGGCTTCTAAGGCATCTTGGTTCAGCTCCGCCTTCTCTAGCTGCAGCTTGGATAGATTCTGGAGCCGATGGATCCATCCAGCTGCCTTGACCAGCTTGCCATGCATTTTGAGGCTCTCCAGGCGCTTTGGCGGCAACAGGTCTCCACCCAAACAACCATCTAACTCGTCGTCCACGGATGGGTTATACACTGACAGAGACCGGAGCCCATAATGTCTGCCAGTGCCAATTGCCAGCCAGAACTTCTCAGAGTTTTTCTTGCCGACACCGGTCACTCCAAGCTTACGCAGCTGAGTAAGCTCTCTGAGCTCCTGGAACGTCGTAGCCTTTCCCTGCGTGACGTTGACAACACGCAGCGTGTGCAGGGCCTTCAGTTTGGAGATTCCTCTGGGGACTTGGACACCGCGGAGCTTGCTGGCATCCTGTTTGTGCACGATCAGGTAGCGATGATACCGGCTGCACATGCCGTGCCTGCTTAAACCATCCTCAGCAACATGCCGTCTGCTTTGCCCCCAAGCAAATCACTTCAATGCCACCCATGGCAATGGCATGCCCGTCAAGTGCACCGTCTCGTGGCTTGTACTCTTCTTGTCTTCTCCTTAAGAAACCAGATGCGTAGAGGTATTCTAGTTTCTGAAGCTTGGTGACACAAGTTGGCAGCGTCTGTACACGTGTACCCCTGACATCCAGCGTCTGAAGCTGCCTCAGATTTCCCACTGAATCCGGCAGTCTGAAGATACATTTACATCCTCGTAGAGAAAGATACCTTACATGGATCAGCTCCCCGATCTTGTCAAGGTGATGGTCCCTTAGTCCTGTTGTGTGCTCAAGATCCAACACCCGGAGGAACCTCATCTTGTTGGATATCAAGAATGATCTCCATTCTCCAAACACAGTCAGGGATCGCACATGCGAAAGGTCCAGTGTGGTCTGGATTACATCCTTGTCTCTCTTCCAGCTGCTGCTTATGGCAAGATGCCGTATTGCCCCTTGAGGCCTTGATCGAGTGTTGCGCAGGTTGCAGCCTTCCTCTAGTGTCAAAACAAGGTTTTCTGCCCTTGCCTTGGACACACAGATTTCGCGGATGAGGTCATGGAGCTGGCAATAATCAATCTTACCACTCCTTCCTCTTCCTCCTTCCATGGGTAGGATCATACTCCTATCGACGAGTTCATCAAAATGTTTGTATCCAACTTGCTCAGCTTTCATGTGTTCCGTCTCTCTTGCGTAATCCTCTGCGATCCACCTCCTCACTAGACGTTTACGCTGGATTATATGTTGTTCTGGGAAAATGGACATATATAAGAAACCAGCCTTGAGAGGATATGGCAGACCATCATAGCTCCGTGTAATGACTGTGCTTATTAGCTCATTGGGATCTGCTGGATTTGTCTGCAGCTCTTTGTCTAAGGAATCATGCAGCTTCCTCCATTCCATTGCAGTTTTAGGCTTAAATTTCAGATAACCTCCTATGGTTGATATTCCAAGGGGCAGCCCTTTACATTTCTTCAGGATAAGTTTAGCTTGATCCAGCATACGAGGATGCAACTCAAAACTTGTAGCATCGCTAAATACCTGAATAAATCATATAATTCGAGCTGGTTAATTAAGGTCTATGGACGATAAATGTTAAACGGAAGTTAAGATAATGAACAAGTTTCACGTAATAAGATTATATGAGCTTGTTAATAAGAACGTGAATGTAGCTTACTAACATTATTGTCCTATAAAAATGTTACTCAACCTCTCTGAAGAACTCACTTTGAATTATTTGTACATGTCTATATCAACCCGCGGTCTTACACCGGCTAGGATTACATGAGACATATGCATTAGAAGTTCATGATTAATGCCTACAACTAATAAAAATCATTTATGTTTGTGCACCCTCACGTTTTATTCACTAGTACAAAAATGTTTTTTTAGCAATGGAAGCATTTTTTGACAAAGACGGCTCAGTCAAAATCCACCCCTCAAAATAGTTTATGTGCCGGCTCGCCTCTACAAGTCGGTTTCTAGAATTGGAGGCATTTTTTAAAATAGGTGGAGCACATTAAAATTCATAAGTTTTCAAATCAAGTGGGATGAAGATAAACTTCATACCAAAGTTGTAGTACTAGAAGAAATCTAAAATTTTGCTGTTGACAACTTTTCTGTTTGAATTCATTTATTGCACACAAAATCTGTTTAAAGCTTTCTGATTTCAAAATTCAATTTTCTTGAATTTTTCAAATGACACTCGGATGGAGAACCTGTCTAAACCAAAGTTGTAGTACTAGAATGGATCTACAACTTCTTAGTATCCAGAAATTCAATTTAAACATTCATATTTTTTAAATTCATTTATTTGAATTTGTCAAAGTAACTCAGATGAGCAGCATGTGCAGGTCCACCTCGCTCCCACCGCATCAGCCCTTGGCCTTGCCATTCCCGGTGGCCACCGTGATTCTTCCGATCACGGCCCCCGACAGCACCGCCGCTGCCAGGCACGACATCAGGCGCCACAAGGACCACCACCACCTCCTCACGACTACAGGGACAGTGGATGTAGCGGCGGCAACGTTGAATCCGGGCCCAAGCTTGTCCCCGGGGGTGGGGAGGACGAACATCTTGGGGTCGCCAACTTCGTGGGGAGCGGCGTGAGTTCACTGTTGGACCGTAGAGCACACGAGGGAGGAGTTGACGCGGATCTTGAACTTGAAGCCCCTTGTCGACCACGGCTGCATCTACGGAATCGCGAGGCGAGGAAGAGGAAGCGCCCTAGTCCTATAGCGGCGGCGGCGGTATCGGATAAGGCTTGGGGATGTCTGGGATTGGAATTGAATAGGCTGTAATTGGATTACAGGGTACCTAATATCGGGACAAGTCCAACTAAACAACAGTAACGATATTCATTACCCTCTGTAATCCAATTACGTTACATTTAGTTGAACCAAACACCATGTTAGTTACAAATGATTCTGAGGCATAGTGGTAAGGGGAGTAACGTTTGAGGCATGAGGTTGTGACTTTGATCCTAACAACTGCACACGCGCATGGGGGCTACCTGGGAAAAAAACTTGATTTGTTTACTCGATTTGTGATTTGTGGAAAAGGATTTCTAGTGGCCTTGTTTTCAGCCACATCTACAAATCATTTATGTTGGAGACAACTGCTACAAATTGTTGATTATTTGTAGAGACGGACCGGTAGAGGCACCTAGGTCAGCCACCTCTATAGAGGCTCCCCATTTGTCTCTACAAATGCTTTTTTGTAATAGTAATTTTCTAACACATTATACATATGGGCTATGCTATGGTAACTACTTTATGTGAGCTAAGATGTTACTCGGTCCATGAACTCTCAAAGCAAAAATCTAGGTCCTTCAAGTTTTCAAATAGTTTATTCTAAGTTCACTATAGGTCCAATCATGGACCTGAATTCACACTTTGAAGGACCAAGATGATCATTTTGAGAATTCATAGACCAAGATGAGAGTGTATAGAAAAAGTATAGACACCCATGATGCATTTCGTTCTTTAACTATTATATGATGACATAAGTGATCACTTAAGCCTATACCATAGCTATCAAAATCGATTAGATCTTAAAGTCAAATACCGGAGGAGGCAATGGTTCACGTCAAGGGGATATCAATATTTAAATCAAATAATCACTATTTACTCAAAAGAAATCTTAAAAACCAAAGAGGCTATAACCACCTATGGTCCCCACTAACCTTCTACACTACTTAAAATCTTGAAATTTTGCTTTCAAAATATATAGTGTAGTTGTTTTTTACAAAAAAAAGGGTGTCTAAAATTATACTTTCAATTTATATGTGTTACCATGTTTTATTTTAAATACTCAAATTTGTGTAAAGTAACAACTTACATAAATTTATAATTTCATTGGTACATGAGTCCTTAAGGAAACAATTACATAGACTACTCATGCATGCATGTATGCTTGAGCTAATGGCACATCAGGTATGTTTACTCAAGATAACTTTATATATTAACAACAATAGAAGTGGATAATTTACAAACATCTATAGAAGTAATTTATGATAATTTAAATATCCTTTGTAATAGTAGAGGTTTAGATTTACGAAGATATTTTGGTTTAACTTCAATAATGGAATAAGTGGCGATTTATATGCAAATTTAAAGAGTTCCTTCGATTATATTTCATTTGGCAAGATGGATAATTTATATGTAAATTTTATGGGTGCTACTTTAGATTATTTTTATTTATGGTATAGGTCAGTAATTAGAAGTCAATTTAAGGGGCCACGTGGGTTGTTTTTTAATAACAACAGAGGTGGGAAAATTTCTACAAAATAGATCCAATAGCGATTACTATCCATTGTGATTAGAGTATACCAAATTGATGCTCGCATCTTTCTAAAGTTTATGAGAATTCTATAATTTATCTTTTTCTAGCATGTCTCGTGTGTATTAATATGTGGCTTCATTCGTGGCCTCCAATTAGTAATCACTAGGGCATCAACCCAGCCCCTCACACGGGTTAGAATTTTAAGAGAAATAAGCATTAATTATTTTTCAATACCTCTAAATAATAAATATTGCTTCTAATGAATTGTATTCTTTTTTCTCTTTGTTCATTTTCTAAACACAATAGGTACAATAGATATTTTGTAGTCTTTGTCTAGTTGAATAAACTTATAAATTATTGTTCTTCAATATCCATAGCATTTTCCCATTTGCATGTAAGCTCTCTATATCTTCAAATTTAGTTAAAACCTTAGCTTAAACTGTGGCCACTCTTGTTGTAGCCCATATTTTTTGACGTCATGAATCTAATTTATGATTTTTAGATGTTAGTCTTATAAATTGCTACAGATTTTTTAAAATCCTCAAGTTAAATTGAAACTGTTATCTCATTGTATATGTTAATACTCTTTTTTTACTTTATAAAAGTAAGGACCTTAGGTCATAGACTACAATCTTAAGTACTACAATGGTATAAGGAGTCATTTACACCACGTTGCTTAAATCAGTGGCAAACCTTGGAGCTCTTGGATGGGTAGCACTGCTAGTCTCACGAGGATATTATTAATATTTAAGCTATATAATGACTAATTGCTCCAAAGGAATTCCAAAGGCCATGATGATATAGCTAAATGTGGTCTACACTAACATCCCCACTTCTCAACATGTTAGAATTTCTAATCAAAGAATTATATGTGCAGTAATGGTTATACTATCAGTGTAGATATGTGAAATATTTTTGTTAAAATGTATTAATAATTTATTGTTATCAGTAGTAAATGAGCTTTCAAGAAAATACTTTTCATGATTGCTAAAAGATAACATATATCTTCATCTCTCATGAATGAGTGTGTACTTTAGTCAAGTTTTAATATATTAATATTAATAAAAGTGGGTAATGTAGAAACATATATATGCTTTATGGTCAAACATTAAAATAAAATTTATCCTAATTATACATGTTTACTTAGTCTACATGGCGGAGCATAATATTATTCTTACTTTTAACTTAACAACGGTAGAAGTATGTAATTTAGAAATATATATAGCGTACTTTATAGATAATGAATTATTTTTTGTGGTAGATTATATTAGTATTTATATGCAGATTTGAGAGTTTTTTTGTTTATTTTTATGACAGCGGAGGTGGATAATTTATATACAAATTAAAATTTGCTACTCTATATATTATGGGTAAATTGAATGCAAAAATATAATTGATCTCACATTATTTTTCATAATAGCATATGTGGTTAATTTATAACAATATTAGCATGCCATTTTAAATTACCTTTCACAATGTGGGATATTCTAAATTATATTGCATAATGGTATAGGTGAGTAATTTAGATGCTAATTTAGGGGGTTATTTTGAATGATCTTCAATAATAACTAAGGTGGTAATTTATAAACAAATTTAGGGGTTTTTTAAAATTATTTTTATAATAACAGAGGTAGGTAATTTACATGAAAAAATATGGATGTACTTTAAGTATTTTTCAAAATGGTAGAGGTAAGTAACTTTTTAACAAAACAGAATAATCTAGTGGTCGCTATTGGTATTTATGATTAGAGTCTGCTAAATTAAAGGCTAGATATTTCTTATTGTTATTATGGTAGTTTATAGTATTTATGTTTTTTCTAGCATGTAAGGTGAGAATTAATCTGGAGGCTCTGTTGGATCTTCTAATTAGTATTAGAAAGATAAGATGTCCAAATGCAAACCAAGTTAACCAATCTTGAATGAAGTCAAAACCAATTTTACCAATCTTGAATAAACACTCTTAGGCACGAGCTTTAAGACATTCAGTCTCCAAGAGAATATTATAGGGATTACTATTTAATAAACAAGGAGGGATTAAAAGATATATATAAGGACCTTTGTTTTTAAGAGGTCAAGTGCAGCGTCATCTTCTATGCCAACAAGATTGTAGATATTGTGTTCGTCCTCAGAACAATGTTCCGCAACAGATTTTTCCCTTGTGGTGACTATCACCCTTTTAGATTTCAGCAATATACTTTTAATGGAGTCCCATTCTTCGGTGGTTGATAGGTCATCAAGAACAATGAGGCAGTTTTGAGTCCCAAGAAGTCTAGATAATTCACTAGTCATCTCTTGGTGTCCCATTTCTCTAATATCCTTCTTCAGTTTCACTGAGTCAGCTCTAGTTGAGTCTTGTTCTTCAATATTTGTCTGAAGCTGCAAGGCTAGATTCCAAAGGAGTGCATCACTGTTGAAAAAGCGCGATGCAGTTGCCCAAGCACGCTTCCAGCCACCAAGTTGTTGGCTTTGGTAGACGCTTCTGACAAGAGTAGTTTTCCCAATACCACCCATTCCCCAAACAGAGATCACCTTGCAGCCCTGACTGTCGTCATCTGGCTGACCAAGTAAATGATTAAGCTTTTGTTTCTCTGTCGATCGCCCGACAACAATGTCTTCAGGGGTTACTGACCTCGTCTTGGACAGAGACCGACCAAGCTTCTTTTCAATTGTTAAGGTAGTGGGCATCACTGAATACCACATCTGTATCTGTATATAGAGGTAGTACAATTATATATAATTAACACTTTGTTTGTTTCAGAGTATATAAACAAGGTAGACTGAAATGTACGCTGGTAACACTTTTTTTAAAATGTAAGCTGGTTCGGCAATGTTGGAAGGAGCTGCAACTTGAGGAGATACGGGGAAAGCTTCCGAAAATACAAACGTCGGAAGCCTTTGTTCGTACCATCCTCGGGCTCAGGCCTGATCTATGCCTCCGAACTGTGATTTTATTATGGAAGTGGTGGGATGTTCGCAACAAAGTTAATGCAGGTGGGATGATGCCGACCAGCCAGGAAGTGGCCTGGGTGGTATATTCTGTACTCAGAGATATCCAGAATGGAGAGACACAGCTAGCACGTCCTCCCCTGCCATGCCAGGTCTGGAAGCCACCTGATTATGATCAGCTGTAAATAAATGTTGATGGGGCCTTTAGGAAGGAGGACAGTGCAGGTGCATGTGGCTTTATCATCCGTAATCATAATGGAGTGCCAATGTTAGCTGGTGCAGTGAATATTAGCCCAGCCCTGGATGCTTTAGCAATGGAGATGGCGGCGTGCTTGTTTGCTCTGGAATCGGCTGAACGCTTTGGTATATCGAGAGTTGAGCTGGAGACAGATTCAAGCCTTCGAGAAGCAATGACTTCATACTCCAGAGAATTAGCAGCGGGAGGAGTTCTCTTTCGAAGTATCCGTGAATTTCTAACGGATCAATTCATTTGTACAAAGATTCTAAATGTGCCACAATCTTGTAACTCGTCTACGCACGAGATTGCTAGAATTGCTATGAGTTGGGACCCAGGTCAATCCTCTGTTTGGAGCGATCCCCTCCCTGAATTTGTAAACAGTGTGGTAGCTCGCAATTTGGCTGAGCTCGGGTCTTTTAATACTAGGCCATGAGAGCCAAGTTTGAATTAAAAAAAAAACAAGGTCGTAGACTGAGACTACAGCTAATTCAATAGAGACTGGGAAAAGAATTCTTCATAAATTTCTCATGAGCGGAATCAGAATCACATGTCCACTAGTATCATCTTCCCAGTTTCTCAGTCTTGGGCTCCCTGACCACCTTGAGCCCTTGAACAACACTCCTTCCCAGAACTAGCAGAAGCTGCTCCAGCACCATTGGAACGTGTTTTGTGGACGATTTGATTTTGTCGGCAAAAAGCTCATGTGGAAGTAATAACTAATAGAGGAGTTTGGAAAGGCATTGTTTCGCCATGGATTCGGAACCCCAAGCGATTTAGAATTTTAGGTTATAAACTTTACGTTTAGATGAAACAAATTTTTGCAAGATGACATACGAAAAGGTCACCTAGTAGACATTAAAATATGCCTTGCTTTAAACATTTATGGTGTTTTTCACTGGCCCTTAGTTTGGGCCATAAAACAAGTAAGAAGAGGAAAGTTAATTAAAGAAGTAACAAGAAAAGTGTCATCCATCTATTCACTGGGCCTATATTGGGTCAAAAAACAAGTAAGAAGAGGAAAATTAAACAAAGTAATAAGAAGAGTGTCATCCATATCAGAATGGAAGATCCCAAAATGGATTCAGAAGGGTGCTTGCTGGTTGCATATATTCATTAAATCGCCTAAAGTGGTGTAGAAAGAATAGATGATTTGGACGACGAGATGACAAACTTTAGTGACGCAAAGACTAGTGATGTCAGTCAGGGTGTCTGTTTTTGTAAATCAAGATTGATCCATAATCTCTAGCTATACCAATAGTTGAAGACTGTAAAATGGACATTCATAAGATTTAGAGCTTTTACCTTCTTGTGGATCAGGTAGAGAGTTTGATCTGGCGACAATTGCTTTAGTTCTGACATTTGGTATGGCTGCTCCGTGCATAGGCATGCAACTTCAAATTCTTGAGTGTTGACGACAATTCTGCTTCTCATCTTCTTGTCAGGAAAGTAAGTTCTGATGAAATCCCACTCCTCTATCGTTGAGAGGTCATTGATCACTATCAGGTAGCTCTTGGTATTCACTAGTTCATTCAACACATGGACCAAATCACTTTGTGTTATGTTCTCCATCGTCAGCAAAATGTTTGCTCCAACAGTTGTTCCTTCTTGAGCCTTACTAGTCTTTTGATAAGAATTAACATAAAACTGCCTCACAAGGCTCTCGATGAATTCATATGGATTGAAAGGGCGCATCAGTCTTACCCAAGCACGAAATTCAAACTTGGCTTTTACCTTCGGGTCATCATAGGCCTTCCTGACCTCGGTTGTCTTACCGAGTTCACCACTTGACCCCCACACCGCGATCACCCTAAGTTCCATCTCCACGCTGTTGATCAGCTGAGCAAGGTCCACTGGTGATTTTACATCCTCCACGGTCTCATGCCAAGCCTTGTCAATGCCCCACATCCTGCCCTGTTCAGCCCCATGCTTGGAGTCGTCGCTGATAATGTGGTACCAATGATTCCTTCTGCTCACTTCCTCTACCTTGTCCCTGAGCTCCTTCAACTCCATGGCGATGCGATGGCGGTCATGCAGGTTGCGGGCGAAGCAACACCAAGAAGACTTTTGCACCTCTGAATAAACCTTGAAATCCATGAGGCTGTCCTCGACATTGTAGGCCAGATCCCGGACCTGCTTGACCAAGGTGGTGGGCACCTTCTTCGGGTCTTGCTCCTCATCAGCTGCCGTCAGGAAGGACTGCATCATCTCCAGCTCGTCGGTGATAAAGCCCACGTCGCGCTCGATGCCGAGCTGCTGCCTCATCTCCTCCACAACGGTGGATTGCGCGCAGCCAAGAACTCCATCCAGCACGGCCTTGCCAACGCTCACGACCGTTGCCTCCATGTCTCCAGCTACCTCTCCCCGCTCCGCTCTCAAGAAGTCGCTTAATTTAGTTTTTCTTTTTTAGTTTGTGGCTCCAAATTCTGATGTGTTCGTCAATGATGCAGGAGATGTGTAGTCGATTGATGATATCTTCTTCTTCTCTTCTTCTTCTTCTCCTTCTTCTCTCTCTGGGCCTCCTGAGCTTTAGTGCAGTGGAAGCTCACGGCATGTGATGCTGTGCAATTTCAGGACGAAAGCTAAATATTCTTCCTGTCCTGAGGAACACTACACCTACCTTAGCCTTCAAGATATAACTGCTTTATACTTGCCTAATGTCGCACGATATTCTTCTTTTTTCTTTACTGCCTTTGCGGCAATAGAATTTCTTGGAACTAGCTATTTTCTTTCTTTCAGATGCCCATATACTTGCTTGCACGCATCACCATTCTAATATATGTTGAATATTTACTCATTTTGGGGTATATTTTAATTTTAATCCAGAAATAAGACATCACATAGACCATGCATGACACAATCAAACGTGAGCAACCCAGACATAGTATACTCAAATAAGCTAACGAACAAGCTAATAGCCAATGCTATCAACAAATCTATAGCACACGCACCAAATGCACCAAAAAACTAGGGCCAGAGGCAGCCGGTGTGTGATACCACTATTTCTATCAACAAATCTATAGCACACCCAACCAAATGCACCAAAGAACTAATGTTGGAGGCAGCAGGTGTGTGTTACCACCATTAATTCTCGCGAGGTACGCAGTGCAGTCCTACGAACGGTAGAGCGGTCATCGGGAAGTAGATGAGGCCCTTTTACGCACAAGGACACAAGGATCTGAACCAGAGATCACTTCACGGGCGTGGCTCCGCTCGACAAGGCAGCGTGCACGTGTGGCCTTCCAACTCTCCCCCTCAACTTGTCTATAGTAGCACACACTAGCATACTATTTAAGTTGAGTACATTCCTTGTTAGTTTCCCATGTGGGACTAACCTCTCTTGCACCTAGCAATAATTGTGGGCCTTTGAAATTTCTTTGATTAATTGCTAGGGTAAACATGGGCCAGGCCAATTAATCTAGCAAATCCCCACCAAATTTCATGCACACAATAAATGCTCTCGATTCTTGACATTGTTTGATATACTAGGGTTTCAATGAAGACCGTTAAGTTGAACATCCTTCTAGAAAAGGAGTTACACTTATCCACATTTGAACAATGGACTACATGCCTTGAATTGGCAGTTTTATGTCAATAGGCTTTATCCAATTCCTTTAGTCGTACAAGGTTGCCTAAAGGCTAAAGCATCCCCTCTGGTTAGAGCATATAAGTCATACTCTATGCCTATTCATTAGTTTTTAGAGAGATCACCCATATCTCGTAGATTCTGACCAGCAATCGAACTCATATAGGTGTATTTGTTTGTAGAAGTCCTGTAGGTTGACATCTCTGCTTGAGTAAGCCACTCGGGTCAGATTAAGGTCTAAACCAACCTACCATATAGTACGGAAGAGAAGTGCATCACTAAAAAGATAAGCCTTGTAAAGGCCTCTTTCCCAGTCAACCAATAGCTTGTTTCACCATGCATCCTACTTCATGGGATCTCCGTTCACGTAGGATAGGTTACCACTATGCTATGACTTCATATGCTTCTCAAGGCCATCTCACTAGATGCATTGTCTTTCACTTTACATGATACACCTTAGTAAATTGGTCTCCCAAATTCTTAGTTGTCTCAAAATAATCCAGTGTTATCACTCCCAAGTTTTTTAGTTTTCTGACAGACATCAATCGCCTCTTAACATGCCTAGATGACTTCATGTTGTCCTTAAGACTGTTCACCTTGATGATCGTAGTCTAATTGTCACAATTTATCATAATTGCCGGTATTGGTTTTCAGCCACCAGCAAATCCATAAGGAGTTCACGAAGCCGCTTGACCCCAACAGTGGCGGTATCTAATGTTGTGAATTCAGCTTTCATTGTTGACCTTGTTAAGATGGTTTGCTTATAAAACTTTTAGGAAATGGCACCACCTCCAAATGTCAACATATATCCACTCATGGCTTTTATTGCATCAGCATCAGAGATCCAATTTTTATCATTGTAGCCCTCTAGTACCTCTGGGTACTCAACATAGTAAATCGCATAACTCATGCACTACTACACAAAAGGGAATCACTACCGGTTCAAACCCCCATCACTGCCAGAATTTGAACTGGCAACACCAAATCGGTAGTGATGAGGTTCCCAAGAAACCCAAAAACGGGATGAAAAAAGGGCTGGCAAATAGAAAAAAAATTTAACACTAGGAGATACCCCACTGGGCAGGTACACGCGCGCTTTGCGGGCGGCAGCGCTCGAACCCACAACCTCATGCTTCGCGTGTTCGTCCCCTAACCACTCTACCCATAAGACACTTGTATCCATTTGGGATATTTGTCATTCCCATTTTATGTTCATCTAATTTTGAAATGAGTATTTGGGGCCCTAAACAAATGCAAATGAAAAGGTTGTCAAGTACAAGGTTTTATGACTTTTTATATCTACAACTTTAGTTTTGGTCATTTCTTCGTCCGAGGTCGTTTGAAAAAATTAAATTTCAGATGTGAGAAAATTCAGCCAAATTTTTCCTTGTATAGATGATTTCAAATGAAAAAGTTGTCAACTACAAAGTTTCATAGCTTTTCGAGATCTACAACTTTTGTTTTGGTTGCTTCTCCATACGAGGTTGTTCAAAAAATTCAAATTTTAAATATGACAATTCAAACTTAATTTTCGTTGGATAGATGATTTTAAATGAAAAAGTTGTCATCTAGAAAGTTGCATAACATTTTGAGACCTATAACTTTTGTTTTGGTTGCTTCTCCATCCAAGATCCTTAACTACCACTACAAACTCACTTATGACTATCAAGCATATGGATTCCTTTGGTATCAACTTCTATAAAATCTTGTGAATCAAGTATTTCGGCATCAAAATGACTTCAAATTAAAAAGTTGTGAACCATAACTTTTTAAGATCTACAACTTTTATTTTGGTTGTTTCTCTATCTGAGATACTTTCCTACCACTACACACTCACTTATGACTATAGAGCATATGGACTCATTTGGTATTAACTCTATAAAATTTTATTATGCGTATTTGGACATCCAAACGATCTTAAAACAAAAAAGTTTAGACTAATACTAAAACTTTGGTATAAAGTTCGTCTTCATCGGACATCGTATGAGAAAGTTATAAAGTGTTTCATGTAGCCTATCACTGTCGGTTCAAGTATCATTGACATAACACCACCGTAATATATTGTGCGCACTAGAGAAATAAATAAATAAATTTGCAAACAAATTAACCTTAAGAACAAACCCACGGTGAAACTTCTAGTCACCGCTGGCTCGACAGACGATGTTGTGTGTAACACCCTAAAATTTGCAAACTTTTAAAATAGTAAATTTGATTTATTTACGCAATTATATGTGCATTCAAATATAGGAAATTAATAATTTTTGGGAAATTAAAAATCAAAATATAAGGTTAGTAACATGTTGATGCATTCATACTGCTGCACATTTGTTTTTGTAATGATTAGCTTTGACTAGAATTTGAATTGAATTTGAATTCAACTTGAAAATGATATTGGAAAATGTATTTGGAAAAAGAAAAGGAATTCTTTTCCCTCCCCTTTTTTTCTCCACTTTCGGCCTAGCTCCATTTTTCTCAACCGCTGGCCCGCTCTCTCTTTTCCCCTCCCTCTGTTTTTCTCCCCGAGCCAGCCCGCTCGTTATCCCCTTTCCTTCCTCCGAACGCTGAAAGGGAGCCCTCGCCACGGGCTGGCCATGGCCACCCTCTCAACCAACCGCAACCTCCGATCAAGCTCTAGGCCTAGACGAGTTCGCTTTGCTTCCCTCTCTCTCCCGGTGCTCTCGGTTCATCGAACCGTCCGCCAGAGTCCCCGTCATCGATCAAGCCTTGCTGCTCGCTCCTCGCCGCCGCAATGGCTGTGGCTGCCTTGCCAGCCGCACTGCTTTTTAACCCACCGCTTTCTCTCTCCCTCCCATCTAATCTGATCCACCCGTTCTTGATCCAACAGCCCACGTAGGCCGATACCCCTTCGCGTGTTGGTTTTGCTAATGAGTCCCTGAGCTTTTTCTAAGTCCTAACCCGTGGTCCAAAACGCATTTCCTGAGTACGCTTTCTCCTTTTGAAAACGTAAAATATACGGTTTTAGTCCGAAATACGTTTTTAGTATTTACAGAAATGCCACTAGATTTGTTTTGCTCATAAAAACTTCGTTTTAGCTACGAATTGACCCGTTCAAATTGCGTTAGTTTCGTAATTTCATAATCTACGTGTTAGTACCACTGTTAATCATGTTTGCAACTTTTAAATTTCAGGGTTAGGTTTAATTAAGTAAATTGCTATAGGAAACCCCGTTTAATTCATAACTTTCGCGTTTTAGCTCCGATTTTCGTGAACTTCGCGTTGACGTGATCGTAGCGAGACGTAGATTCTTTTCATAAACATTTTATCTTATTTTCTATACTACTTGTGTACTGTTCTAATAATAGGTTTGTTTGCTTTGCATGAATGTTCCTGAAATGTTGTATGTTGTCGTGTTGGTCACGTTCAGACAGTGAGGAGAACGTTGGTGATCAAGAGTTCGTTGACGACCAGCAGGACCAGCAGGAGTTTGCTAACCATGGCAAGTATAACATGGGATTTACCTTGATGCCTATTCACCTTTATTAATTACTCATTTGCATGTGTCTAATTTTGATACCCGTAAGGACATCCTAGTGATTGATTATCCTATTCCTTGTCTCCTATGGGTTATATGCATATGGGTAGTTTGCTAGCGCTCAATAACTATACCTGATCTACATAATGAACAATGGTTCTATGGAACAAAAAGGTAAAATTGACTTTTAAACAACTGAATTATAGGGCGATGGAGCAAATGACCTTTTGATCATGATGCTCTCGGCCCTCCATAAGGACTTATCTG